CAGCCTTTGGTCAAAATCCCTGCCCTCAGGAAATGCATAATCTACTTGAAATGCTAAAGTAAGCATACAAATAACTACAATGTATAACAGAATATGAGAATTTCAAAAAGAGAAGCCCACATGAAATGTTCTGGGGCTCAAAGGAGAAAAAAAGGAAAATGAAATGAAAGGAATCCAGAAAGAATTCCTAGAGGAAAGAGCATCCAAGTTCAAGCTCTGAGTAGAGTAGGATCTCAAGAGGCAGATTCAAAGGATAGTGCCCCAGTCGAGTACCAACAGCGAAAACATGCAGGTGATAATATTCAGTAATAAAATGTTCACATAACACAGGGAAGTTCTCCCTGAGCATAGAGTATTTACAAGAGAGAAAACTGAAAAGATAAATCAAGCCTATGCCTTTGAAGTCAAAAGCAGTGTATTTGATTTGCTACTTAATCAGCAACCACTAATTTTAAGGAAGGATGTGATGCAATGGACCCATACTTGGGAAAGATACCTAGAATAGTTTTTAGCCTAAAATAGTCTGTCTCACTGTCCTCAAGATGTGTTAATGACAGACTGTAACTGTATGGACCATTGGTTCACTTTTGAATGACATGAGAACTTGTTCTTTAGTTAATGAAGACTACTGATAACAGGATGAGCTATTTTGAATGAAACATTATTTCAGTAATTTCTGCTTCACTATCCCACAGCAGAGTGCAAACATGTGTCTTTAAAGTTCCACTGAGAAGGGATAATGCAAAATCATCCAAGATAGAGACAGGATGGAAAGAAGAATTTGAAGGGGGAGGTGGGGGAAATAGCTAAGCCTAGACCTTTGAGAAAGTTCCTAGGACTGGAAAGGTGACTTTTTTTTTTTTTTGTGGTCACCAAATAGCTGAGAAACAGACTTTTAAGCTCTGTGAGTAGATGGGGAAAGAGATGGAGCTCCAGATGAGTCCTGTCTAGAGAATACATGAGTAAGTCACAACCCAGCAAAGAAGAAGCAGTACCATCCACCTCCATGGAAATTAAAGGCATGGCTAATAAACACATTGGCAGGGACATTTGAAATTCTGGATTACATAAATCCCCAAAGCCTTCTTACAACTCTGGAGAAGGACAAAAGGAAACCCAATAATGACTGATATTAGATTGTCCACATGTCTCCCATAAGAGGAGACCTGATTTAACTTGGTTTAGAACATAATGGGATATTTCTCATATTTGGAGTTTATGATGGGGTAAAATTAATATGGTATACACTAGCAAAAATGTGTTTCTGGCTTTGATCTAGGAAACCAGATGCTATTCTTATGAGACAGATATGAGTGGTCAAAACATGAGGATAGGGAATAATTCTATAAATTGGGCCCACTGTGCTGACCCCCCACATGCTTTCTTTTCCAAGAAGAATTTACCAGTATACCTGCCTGGCTTAAGTGGACAGGATGTTACATTTCTCAATAAACTACCTGTTATCTGCAGGAGAAATGCAGGAATGAGAGGAACCCAAGTTATACTGAAGTGGGAGACTGTTGTAACCCTTTTCATAGACCAGATCCCAAAACTCAGAGAGATAAGGAAAATGCCTCCTAACCATAGAATCTGTCAGAATTTATGAAGAGAAAACCAATTAGAACCAGTCAGCATGGGTCAAAGTGACTTAGAGTTGTTATGGCACTGGGGACTTGAAAGCCTGATGTCATCTTGCTATCAGTAAAAAGTCAAGAAGTGGACTTGGGTGGAACTTTCTGGAAACTTCTCTGGGATCCCCAATGAAACTGGGGTGCAGGAGAGGCATGTTGTCCCTTTCTTCTCAGAGAGGATCCACTCTCCCTTGAGAGTGTCCCCTTTCCTTTTTCTATCCCTTCAATAGACTCATTCCTGTTACTCTGAGTGATAGGTCTGTAATCTTTCTGACTTGATTACAAGAATCAGTGTTTGAAAGAAGACAGGGGGTGGGGAGTTCTAAGCAATGTCTCATTTTCCCAGAAGGCACCAGCCCTGTAACACTATCAAGCACCTTAAGAAGGAATAGTATTATTTAACTATGATAGAAAACTATACTGGTATTTGCATGCTTTGCTGAGTGTAATGAGCCTTTTTTGTATGACAACAAGCTTTAATAATTCCATTCTCACAATGGCAGATACCTATAACAAAACATGTAGCTTTCTGACAGAAGAAATAGACAGAATTCTACCCAGTTGACAGAGTTCTTTTCTTCTTGAATATGTTAAAATAAACTAAAAAATTATCCTTGACTCAACCTGCATGTTGAGATGAAACCTGTGTCTGTAGTGAATTTCCTCATATTCCTATTTCCATCACATTTGCATTCAGTGGCCACTATTAAGGGAAAGCACACAGACATGCACATGCACAAACATACATGCACGTGTATGTCAGAGGAATCTTATCTTCCATACTTAACTTTATGGGGGAAATTGCTGCCCTGCCATTTTAGCATTGGCAAGAAACCAATCACTTGCTCATTCCTACAACATCCCTAGGTTCCTTGGTAAATGATAATTACCAGCAAGTCAGTAACTATGGGCAGGAATTGAAAAGCCTTGGGTCAACAGTTTTAGCACAGTTTAAAAACTACTTTTCAATGCCAACTTACTAGATTAGCCTAAGAACCATCTATGGGTTTTCAATACTCTCTGATGTATAGAAAATAAAATCTTGCTTATATAGCAAGTATAATCTCTCTTAATATTTCTTTCTCTCCATTCTTTATATGCCTTTTCAAAATCCCCCTTTCTATCTCCCTGTCTATCCTTCCAAAGCCCCAAGTCCCAAAGACAGGCTCTTGTTCCAGATTATATATTCATCACAGCCAGTGTTCTGTATAGCCTAATACAATAAAATCAATGCAACAGTGTCACTTGTCAGTCTCTTTGTGCATAAGATAAAATGATGCCATGTGAGACAAAGTAATATGGGGTAATGAGTCATCTCCAACTTTTGTAAAATAGCCTAGTCAGTCTGGGCCTGGGGAGAAAATGAGGAAGACAGGGCAATCAGAGAATCAGTACACTAGTGATTCATTTCTTAATTTATAGAAATGAAGTTCTTTTAAGCTGAGTATGAGCAGATCAACTGACAAACCTGCTATGCACATCTGCACTTTTATTATACTTTTATTATACCTGCTAAGCACACCTGCATTTTTATGATAGTTTGCCTGAGGCCATCGTAGTGGCAGGGCCAGGAATACATTAGTAAAATTAGAAGAAATATCATCAGGTAACTTCAGTCTGCAAGTAAACAATTAACAGCTCATTAAGGAGAATTTCACTTTTGTGGGAGACAGTCCTTTCCTTGACAGATTTAAGCTGGCTAATGAATTGAGGTTTCCACTACCAGGGTCAGGAGCATCTCAAAGGCTGTACTCACTGTCTGACTCAGAGTTTTCTTTTAGCATACTTATTGCTCTATAATCATCTACAGAATTATCCATATTTATTGTGGTAGGCCAACCAGAAAAAAAACTTACCTTTCTAAATTCTTTTCACAGTCCTGATTCTATAATATCTCTATCTCATTCTGGGGTATAAGTTAAATATGCTGAATGTATGCAGACATATTTTAGCCTCTGTAAAGAGTTTTAGCAGAAAGAGTTAGTGGTAAAACTGAGAAACAAAAGGGCTGATGAAGCAGTAAAGTGAGTACATATTAAAAACAGTTAACTCCACCCCACAAATTATAGATAATAACTACAGACAATTTCCAAACCCCTCACCATGGTCTCAATCAAGTTTATATTGAGCAACATCACAATCTGCTTAATAGAGTCATTGAATGCACTTTGGAATTTGTTTGGCATTTTAAAACTTTTCTCCCCAACCAATGACTAATGGGACTTGACTCTAATGCAGAACTTGCTAATTTTCTAAATAGTGTCTTTATAAAAAAAACTTTGATTTATAGATCTCTAGTTGAATTTGAAATGAATATTTTGAAAATGAGCATATAGTTAAAAAGAATAGAACATGCAAAGTCTCATTCTGTAATAAACTACTGTCATCTGATATGCAGGAAAGTTAGAAGGTATTTGAAAAGTTCTTGTCCCACACTGTTGTTAAAAAAATATTGAATCAGGATATAATTTTAACCTGTATTATGTTGCAATAGGATTTATTCAGTCATTCAGCTAACATTTATTGAAACTTCACTGAATACCAAGCCCTGGACTAGAGGTACAGAGATGGATTAAATGGGTTTCTGCTCACCAGGACCGCACAGGCTACTTAGGGAGAGAGATGTCTAAATGGCTAATCACACTGACATTCATTAAGTGTCATGAATTATGTATGACTTGAGCACTGTTAGGGCCCACAGGAAAAAGCAAACTCTTAAAGGTTATGCCACTGAGGCCTATAGCAGTGACTGGCTGGTGTCTCTGGGTATAGTGGAAAATATACAAAACACATAAAGGACATAATGAACCATGCTATTCTCTCATAGTACCTTGACTTTTCCTTTGGAACACTTATGTCAACAGACAGTTATGCTTGTGACTATTTCATTAACATCTATTTCCCTGATAAGACTATGAAGATCTCAAAGAAAGGGACTTGTCTGGTTTTGTTCACATCCCCTGAGATTATTATAGTGCTTGGCATATAATAGATGGTCAGTTATTGTTTGGTGAATAATGAATAAAGAAATAAACACTTTTAAGCTATGAGGAGAGACTGATTATAGGAACCTTCACTACAGTATCAGTATCTATCACTTGGCCCTTTGAGAAGCTTCCTCTTGAGTTTTCTTTTAAATACTTCACTCATCTTAACATAGACAGCCATTCTCTGACCTAAGCAGATAAAACTGACGTACCACCACACCCAAAATTTCATGACACATTTATCATGAGCACAGTACACTCTATCCCTACAAGCAACCCAACTATCTTTTGAGTATCACCTATACCAGTACAATCCAAGTACTTGTCTCACAGCTGTGTCTACTTATGCCTCATAAGTACATGAACATGACCTTACCGTGTCCTCATGTCCTCCTTTCTTTTTCACCCCCTTGCTCTCCCATCCTGCAACGGTCAGGGAAGGCTTCAAGGAAATGTTATGTTTCCTTGGTTCTTGGATTGACTAGACCCCAATGAAATCCAACTTTAATTTGGGGTTTTCAGTAAGGAAAAACGCCTGCTCCAGAACTTCCAATCTATGGCAAGAGAGGTCTGTCCCTAGAAAATCATAAAAAAAATGAAATCAACTCATTCAAAATAATATATCTAAAACTTTCACAGTGTATTCTTATTCATATATATGCCATTTGCTTTACATGCAAATGCATAAAAACTGGCTTATTATTATTTTGGAACTGGGGATTGAACCCAAGGGCTCTTTGCCACTGAACCACATCCCTGGCCCTTTTTATTTTGAGACAAGGTCTGGCAAAGTTGGTGAGGCTGGTCTTAAATATTTATTTATTTTAGTTTTAGGTGGACACAGTATCTTCATTTTATTTATATGTGGTGCTGAGGATCAAACCCAGTGCCTCACACATACTAGGCGAGCACTCTACCCCTGAGCCACAACCACAGCCCCTGAGGCTGGTCTTAAACTTGTAACCATCCTGCCTCAATCTCTTGAGTTGCTGGGATTACAAGCCTGTGAGATCAATCTTGGCTAAACCTGGGAGAATATGGGGTGAAAGTTAATCAGTATTTGCTACATGTATTTTTATTTATTTATTTAGGCATTGGAGATCAAACCCAGGTTCTCACACATGGTACCAGTATTTTAAAATAGAATTCAGTGGAGTAGCTGAATGCCTATAGTTTATATGTGATTGAAATAAACTGACCTGAATATCCACAGGTAATACAACTTTTTTACTCTTTTTTTATCTTCTTCAAGTATCTAAGACCAGTACAATTATGGATTCATCCACCAAGCCCTGCCCAATCACTTGGAACTCAATATTTCCCTCTCTGAACTCCAATAATTCTCTTTACCTGTATTACTTGTTAGACACTGAATAAATACAATATCAGGTTGTTATTTAACATGTTATCTGTGTTGAAAGGCCAGCATGCAAGATGTTAAAAAATTAAAACCATGATCATAAATTCCTCAAAGAAGCAGACTCTCATAACACTTTGAATCCTTAGTATATAGTATCTAGTCTGGATCTTAAATGTAGCAGATGCTTATTGAATATTTTTTGATCAATTCAGACCATATAATAATAAAATATTATAGGAAAATTATTAACAATTGAGAATATTTTTGGAAAACAATAATTACATCAACAATATCATTTAAAAATATACTAACTTTGAATATTTCATAGATGAGGTATCATGTAATAATTGTTAATAATATTCATGATCAGTTAGAAAACAATAGCAATTCTATTACTATTAAAATTATTATTATTAATATTATTAGTGATGTTTATATTGACTATTAAGTCTTTATAAATTTTGAATGAATATACTATAATAATCACATACTGAATTAAAAATGTCACACAAGTAAATCAATCAGAAATTACAAGAAACTGAGTGAGTTACAGTTAGGGTTAGGGTTAGGTACAAGTGACTATGGAAAATGAGACAAACCATCTATACTCAAGGCTGAAATTCGCTTTCCAATCCTTCCTGCCTAGGATCATTCTAGTATAATAATATCATTCATGTATCATTCCAGTATAATAATATAAACAGAGGGTTCATGAATGAATTATTTTGTATATGTGCAGAGGATTTTCCATGGGGACCTGTATGTGCAATCAGTGACTGGAAATATTTAACTAAGAAATCTGTTAAAATTATGCCAGTAGTTTTATTGGTAGGTCTGAAACAACAAGGATTTCTCCAGTGACTAGGATAACCCCAAGAACCTTCAAAGGTTCTTGGGGCACTGTTGGAACTACAAGGCAGATTTGGGTCACATAGCTGGAGGGAGAATTTCAATTCTTATAAAAATCTTAAAAAAAAAGAATGTGAGAAACAGTGAAGTCCAAAAAGGTAGGTACTACTATCCATTGCTATGAGGAAACAGAAAAAATGATAAAAACTGACAGTGATGCAATCCAGGCAAGTTATTCTGGCCTGAAGTTGGGAATGCTCAAATGATATTAGCATCCCATTGTTCTCTGTCAGTTCTTGACCCAGGGGGCAATCCCTGCATCAAAGGAGTTGAAAAGGGGCAGACATAAGCAAGCTTGAGATTTCACATTGTGACATATGTCAGCCTTTTTATTTGACACTTCTTTTCCTTCAATGTACTGTATACGCAAGCCCATCTACTCCATGGCAATAATACAATGAGTACTGTTTATTGAGTTTCTCCTGGTGCCAAGTGCTTTGCAAACATTTTGTTTTTTGAATCCACACAATATTTAGCCCCATTATATAGATGAAGAAATTAACAAATTGAAGTATCTATAGAATTAAAATAATTTAGTCAAAATCAATTGACTGAGCTAGGTGTATTTTTGCCTCCTAAGCTGGGTTCTTTTTACTTCAACCTTGCTAAATATTCAGAATCTGCATTTTAACAAGATTCCAGGTGGTTCACATGCAAATTGAAGAAACTATACATCATGCTGCTTTCCTTCTGTTTCTCTCATCTCTCTCACACACACACAGACGAGGGGGATGGGGGAGAGGATGTGGTGTAAATCATTTAGGAAAAAAAAATATCAATGCACCTTCTTTGGGAACAACCTATGGGAACTTTTAATTCATCTGTTAATTGGGATCTTTAAAACAGCACATAAACCCGGCACCATGGTGCACATCTGTAATCCCAGTGATTTGGGAGGCTGAGGCAGATGGATCACAAATTCAAGGCTAGCCTCAGCAATTTAGTGAGGTCCTCAGCAACTTAGCAAGACCCTATCTCAAAATAAGAAAATAAAATAAAAAGGGCTGGGGATGTAGCTCAGTGGCAAAGTGCCCCTGGGTTCAATCCCCAGTAATATATGGTATACCATTTATTATGGTAAATCACTTATTAGTTTGAAGTTATTACTGAATAAAATAATTTTGGATAAAAATGAAACATTCTATTTTATAGCAGTTTATAGAAAAGCAGAAAATGGGAAAGAATAGAAGCATGAATTATATATAAAAAAAACAGGAGTCTGAGCTTGCTGTGGTTCACAGTTTGATAATAAGTATACTAGCAATTACAAATGATTTTTGAATGGCTGTGTCTTTAGAAAACCCACCAGCTGTAATAATTACAATCTAAGCTTTCATGGAGCTATTTTCCTTGCAACTTCAGAAAGGATGGCACCGTGGGAATTCCTGCCATTTACATACATTCACCATCATTTTTGGTTGCCAGAAAACTATTTCCAGGTGCTACACCTCTGCAATCCAAAGTGATGTTAATGAGAAAGAAAACTGAAATAAGAATCTGCATTTGTTCTCATTTTCCCTCAATAAATTTTTATCTAGCATGGATTCTTAATTTCCTTTACTTTTGTATCACAATGTGTAGGTGACATTTAAATTAAATAGATTGAAATGAAAATAGAATCTTCAAATAGGACCAATCTTCAACATGCTGAAATCCATTGAATGTAAAGTCTGATATAGGAATTTAACATATTAGCATGTGTGACTAATGCCCTGAGTGTTTCTCCAAAGTTTTGTGCTTTGACATCACCCAGGAATCTAGTAATGCTGAAGATTCTAATTTAGTAGCTCTTGGATGCATTTCTAAGATCCCTGGTGATGTCAATTCTACTGTTCCAAGATCAGACTACATTAGCAAAGGCATTGGACTTCGTTTAGCAATAGTGAAATGTCTATATTTTTGTTCCTCTTGTTCAAACAAAACTAAGTCATCTTTTAAATTATGAAAGTAATACTCAGTCAGACATGTCAATAAAGGAAACTTGGAAAACTGTAATGGGAGAAATACTAAATAAACAATCACCCCACCCAAACAAAACTATTATTTTCATCTACCCTTATTTCCTTTTAATTTTTTTCTCAGTGCACATACATCAAGTTTTACAACACAGAATATCTTACCATATATTCCATTTTCATTTAACAGCCATATTTAGCCCACTTCACACTGCTGCATATTCAGTTTTCTATCAAATTTCCAAATAATGTATTTCCCCACAGGTATATCCATCATTCAGAATAATGAATACAATCCTAACTATCAGCCACATAATTCAACAAAGCAAACTCTCAGCTCTTCATCTATGCACCAATGCTTAAGAGCAAGAATTCTATAAAACTTTGGAAGTGGTACTGCATATGTATCATTATGATGTCATAGCTGCCTACATAGAGGGACCATAGATAAAGACCTATTCTCCTCAGAAACATATTTCATTTCTTTAAAGCACTGCATTTCTTTCTAAACCAGATCTCCAGAGACATCTCTTGGGCCCTTTTACAGACAATTCTCTTACATCAAGTGGGGTCAGCTTACTTAGAGAAACATAAGTTTTGTGCTGTTTTTACTTTTTTTCTTTCTGCAAAGCTTGCTTGCCCTTCTTGACCTTTTCTTGGCAGGCTGTAGACCACAGCTGTTTCAACTGATGGGGCAAGAGTCTGATACTCTGTTCTTCCCAGGTGTTCCTTTTCATTAACACTGCATCAATTCAGGCTGTCAGGCTGTTATGCCTGTGACAACTAAACAGTTGGTAGACAACAGGTACAGGTGGGCTACCAGTCACTTGCATATGATTTGAAAGAGCTACACTTGTCACTCATCCATTATGGTAAAACAGTAGAATAGAAATTAGTTAAGTGCAATATGCTATATTATTTAATATTGGAGCATTGATTAGATAAATGAGGATGTTTACTTGAAATTTAAATATAATTATTCTGCAGAAATATAAACATGGCAATAAGTGTATTTTCCTATAAAAACACTGATAAGTTGAAAAATATTTTAAAATATAATAATTAGCTCAACTAATGAAGAACATTTGGAAAACCAAGTGACATCCATTCATGTCACAGAACCAATGCATCTGGTAAGCTAATAATCTTGTATTGGCTATTTCTAGGTCCATTGCCTAAACCTTAACACTGTCATTCTCCAACATTAATGTGCATCACAATAAGAAAGACTTGCTAATACACAGATTACCAGGCCCTATCCCTAGGGTTTCTGATTAAGTAGGTCTAAAGTAACACCTGAGAATGTGCATTTTTAAGTTCCAAGGCATGTTAACTTTATGTAGCTGTGACAA